TCAACATAAACATTAAAGTTATTTGAAGATAATTTGCCTCCAAATTTGGAGCAGTGTCCCTGAATGGAACATATCCTATCCAACATGGTTGAGGGTTATGTCTAAAAGAAAATAAATTTTCAAATATTTTAGAAGGATCATTTACACTTTGATCTTAGTATAGTTTCAAAAATACCTAGTTGTGCTGTTTAATATGATAGTAGCTACATGTCAACATTTAAATTTAAATTAATATTTAAAAGTCATTTTGTTAGTCACACGAACCATATCACGAGTACTCAGGCACATTTGGCTATGGGCTAGGTATTGGACAATGCAGATACTAAACTTTTTCATTTTGCATTGTTTCATTGGACAGCTTCATATAGAAGCTGAGAATAGAGTTGTCCCATGATATCAGTGGGGAATTGATTCTAGGACTTGTTACTGATATCATAATCCATGGAAGCTCAAGTCCCTTATATAAAGTGGCATAGTACAGTCAGGTCTCCCTTATCTGTAGGATGTGGAGACCACATCCCATGGATATTGATACTGTGTTCCACTAGTGGTAGATCACATTTTTACCAGTTTTCACAGATATAGATCCCTGTTACTTACAATATCATTTCCCTCCAAAGTATTGCTTATCAAAGTATGTGATTATTTTCTCTACCAAACAATCTCCCCAAGTAATAAAAAAGAACAATAATGCATAGGATTTGAAACAGCTAGGTGATGATAGAAACATGTTTAGATTTTTATAAAGTTTGTTATTAATCTTAAAAACATATGCCAAATTCATAGTGTGATTCTCTAAAAAATGAATGATAGCCACAGACTTTCCATGCTACAATCCAAGTTTGCAACACTGAAATAGCCTACGAGTAGCATATGGTTTATGAGATTACTTTTCATTCATATATTTTAGAGGTAGTTTTTATTATATAACCACACCTTGAAAAGAACATAGAATACAGAGAAAACATTAAATTGATTTATAAATGAATGATTAAATATTTTAGTGACTAATACTTTAAGTGAAGGCGCTAGTGGTAAAGATGGACTTTTGGTGGCTCAGATGATAAAGACTCTGCCTGCATTGCAGGAGACCTGGGTTCGATCGCTGGGTTGGGGAGATCTCCTGGAAAAAGAAATGGCAACTCACTCCAGTATTCTTGCCTGGAGAACTCCATGGACAGAGGAGCTTGGTGGGCTACAGTCTAAGGAGTCGCAGAGTTGGACACAATTGAGCAACTAAACACACATTGGTAAAGAACCCACCTGTCAATGCAAGAGACATAAGAGACACAGGTTTGACCCCTGGGTCAGGAAGATCCCCTAGAGGGAGGGCATGGCAACCCACTCCAGTATTCTTGCCTTGGAGAATCCCTTGGACAGAGAACCCTGGTGGGCTACAGTCCATGGGGTTTCCTAGAGCTGGCTATGACAGAAGCGACAGTGTGCACGCATGCAGCATGTATTTCCATGTTCAGATTGAGTAGGATGAGAAAATCTCAGATTTTTTAATTCATTTATTCCTTTGAATCTTTTCAGTAAGTTAGGTATGGATAAATATCCTAACTTTGTGTATACTGAAACTTAACGTAGGGTTATCAAGTGAAGGTAAAGCTAAAATTCATTATATAAGGAAAGACTTTTTACATTTGGGGGCAGAGAAAGAAGAAAAATAGTTTCATCCTAATTAATGGAAACATGATTGTAGCTTAAGATTCTTTTCCCACACTTTAACATTATTAGGTGTTTTCTGAGGGTAAATATAGTTGAGACTTTCTCTGTGCGTATTTACTAAAATGGTGGTTTATAGGGGAAAAGTTCATAACCAGTACATTAGTTAAATTATGTTTTCATAAAATGTATTGCTACTTTTTTATAATATGTCTAATTTGAATATATTTCCTAGTGTTAAGATGATTTTTTAAAAATTACCTTTTCCTTGATTATAAAAGCCACTCAGGGTTTTTATTAGAAGCTTTGTCTGGCTTTACCCTCTAGAATCGTTTTAATTTCAAATGTTTTTTCCTCATGTATTTGCAAATACCTGGTAAGTTATGTGTAAAAATTGCTACCATGATGAAAGAATGTCTCTGCTAGGTTTTTATACTTTGAGGATTAGGACTTTAAATCAAGTAGCATTTTACACCATAGATTTAGTCTTAATTATCTTGTTTCTTCCCCCCAAAATAAACATTTATCTTTTTATTCAGTTACTTACATTATTTGAATGTAACTATTTAAAAATATTTAATATCTTTTTTAATTTAAGATTTTTGTGAAAAGTATAATTGGTTCTTTCATAAGACTTTTTGTATTGACTCTTCACATCACAAGCTTGTTTTTTTTTGGTATTGATTGAAGTTGAGAGCATAAAGGAGTTCCCTGCAGGCAGGTCTTTGGATTCAGAAAGTAAAGTGTCCCATCTATATGCTTCTGATCTGATTTGATATGGTGAGAGCATGGGTAGTTCAGAGAGAATTAATTTCCTGTCTTATATTCTCTTATTCATTCATGCATAATTTAAAACTAACATGTTCTGCGTCTTGATAATCTTTCCTCTTTTGCCTTCAGTCTATTTTTCCTTTCTCTATTTCTTGGACTTAATAAATAACAAAACAGAAGACATTTTCACCTCTCTTGCTTCCCATGAACCTTACTTACGCATGCTTAAGTCGCTCAGTCATGTCCAACTCTTTGCAGCCCCGTGGACTGCAGCCTACCAGGCTCCCCTGTCCATGGAGATTCTCAGGCAAGAATACTGGAGTGGATTGCCATGCCCTCCTCCAGGGGATCTTCCCAACCCAGGGACTGAACCCAGGTCTCTCTCATTGCAGGCAGATTCTTTACCATCTCAACCACCAGGGAAGCCCAAGAATACTGGAGTGGGTAGCCTATCCTTCTCCAGGTGATCTTCCCAATCCAAGAATCAAGCCAGCGTCTCCTGCATTGTAGGTGGATTCTTTACCAGCTGAGCTACCAGGGAAGCCCAAGCCTTATTATAGGTATTCCCTAAATTCTGCTTAATGGTCTGTCTTTACTTTATATTCATTTCCTTGGTGAACTCATCCACTCTCTTGGCTTGAATTGTACTTTTTTATATGACTCATTTTTTAAATCTTGGACTATTCTAAATCACGATTTCTACCTGTTGTTAAGAAGTGTCTCCATTTGAATAGCCTTTGGTAACATTGGCCTTATTTATTGTCCAACATGAAAGTCACTCTACCACTGCAGGTTTATTTCATTGTATTCCCGATAATCTTCCATTCTCTGATGTCCTTGTTCTTGTACTTAGTTTAGCGTGAACTCCTTTTATTTCTCCATGTAAGATGTTGCTTGGGTTTCCCATTCTATCTGTACTCATCTTCACTGTCCAGACCTTCATTATATCACACCTGTAACTCATTACACCCACTTTGACACCACTCCCTGCTTTTCCCTTTTTTTTTTTTTGAACTTCCCAAACTCTGCCTGCAGTGATTTTTTTAAAAATGCATACAGAGTTGTTATGGCAGATCTTTATTAAATAGAAATTGTAAGCATTTTTATTTATATGTCCCTCTGGGCATAGTGCTAGATGCAGTAAGAAATCAGTAAGTAATTGTTCACTCATTCATTCAGCAGCTCTTGAGGAGTTGTTGGGTTCCAGCTATTATCCTAGTGCTCCAGTGATCTTCTCTTACCGAGCTTGCAGCTGAAGAACAGTCTCTGGTGGTAAGAGAAGGCTTCTCTGAGAAACTGACATTTGTTATCAGACTGAATGAAGTAAGAAAGCCAGCCTTGTAAAGATCTGGGGAACAATTGCTCCAGGCTGAGAGAACAGCAAATGTCAAGGCCCTGAAGAGGGACAGGTTTGGTATATTTGGGCAATATCAAAAAGGTCATTGTGACTGGAACGTGGTAAGGAGAGAGTGACGGAAGTTGTAGTCAGGAAACTAGGTGACAGAGAGACCATGGTAGGTATTAGAGACTATATCCTGATGGATGGAAAAGCCATTGGATAGTTTTGAGTAAGGGAGTGATGTGAGCTGGTAACATTTGTCACTGAGTTAAGGACAGTAGACTAGAATAGTGATGTAGGAGAGCAGTATCTTGAACTAGTGAGGTAAAAAGCAGTAATAAGGACAGAATGAGGAAGAATGGTTGGCAGGATAGATTGGATGGGAGGTGAGAGATAGAAAAAGGAACCAAGGAAAACTCAGTTCTGTGTGCTCGGACAAGTCATGTATCCTCTCCAACGTCTGTTTTCCTGTGTGTATAATGAGAAATACCTCTTTCCCACTTTGAAGGATGTGTTATGAGGAAATGAAATAATAATGAAAGCTAATTATGAATCTTAAAACACCATTAATGTAGTATAACTTTTAAACACCAAACATTTAAAAGCTCACCTTAAATTACTTCCCTGGTAGCTCAGCTGGTAAAGAATCCGCTTGCAGTACTAGAGAGGCCAGTTCAATTCCTGGATCAGGAAGACCCCTGGAGAAGGGATAGGCTATCAACTCCAGTATTCTTAAGCTTCCCTGGTAACTCATCTGGTAAATAATCTGCCTGCAACACCAAGTTTCTCCTGTTGATTGATAATAAGTAGTAGATCATGTTTTGGGCTTAGACTGAGCAGCTGATCTAATCACAGAAAAAAAAAGGATGCCTGTCATTTGTTTTACAGTATATTTAAGACATTGTGATTCTCTTCTTGTTAAATATTTGAAAAAAAATAAAACTAACCCAAGTGACCTATTGTTTATTTACTAATATGTTTACTCTGGGGTGTTGTTGATTATAAATGAAACATAATTTGCCATGCTATAAGAAATAATGACCTATAAATAAACTCTAGGTGTTTTATGCTTATTTGTGTCATGCCAATTGTACTTTTCCTGATAATTTTAGAATACCTTATGGCATCATGACACACAAATATTCTAAACAAAGTTTTTAGTTTTTGAAATTACTTACTCAAGTATGATTCAGCTGAATGTATTTCTGTTTTCCTATTACAGATTTCTCAACAGTGATGTCACAAGATTGACCACATTGATCACAGTAAGACTAAAATGATAATTAAGCTTTTAAAGATGTTTTGTTTTCTCTGAGAATGAGAATTAAGTTAGAAAATATTTATAGTTTTTAATTGTTACTCTTTCTTTCAACAGCCAATTGAATATTTACATTTAATGATTCACATCTCCCACTCTATTCACATCTCCAACTCTATAGTTTATTTAAATAGTTCTTTAAATGATTTTAAACACTTTAAATGAAAATTATCTTTAATTTATAACTGAAATTATATACCCAATTGTATATATATATATTTCAGTGTGAATCATAACCTGAACATCATTGTTTTTAGTTTTGTTTTTATAAAATACGGTACAAAATATTTAAGGTGAATCCACATTAGGAAAAAGATTATAAAAATAAAATTACTTGAGACTGTAATCACATATTATGAAGGGCTGTGAAAACAGCCTTCTTGAAAGGATTCTTAGACTTCTTTAACATTTTCATTGATGTATAGAGTCTTCCAAATATGGAGAGTTGTTCAAAAGCATAGTTTTCTTAAGAAACAGACACTTTTCCTCTTTAATTTTAAAATGTTAATTTCTTCTGTGTATAAGGAAATATGCTACATAAAGAAGAACTTTATCCAAGGTTTTGATCTATATTATTAGAAAATTCTAACTAGTAAAATCTGAATTGCAGTAATGAAATTTTACAGCAGTTTTGAAAACGCCTTTTAAATAACAGAGGAAAAAATTGAGTATATTATTTATTCAGTGAATCTGCTTCTTTAATCCTATTTTAATTGTTCATTAGAAGCAGTATTTATCAGAAATGTTAATCTGTATATATATAATCTTTATGTTTTAACATTTTTTTTGAAAACTGGTTAATTTGTTAAATTTAGCATTTTTCAGAGTCCAGAAAGGACTTTTTTTGTATTTTTAAAGGCTTTATCATCATCGTTGAGTCTACAGATTTTTATGGCATGTTCATTCATTTTCCTCAGGGAGCATTTTAAATATGTCTGATTTGTAGCTCTTTGCTTACTTGTTTTTTCTTAATCAGAACTTTATGGCCCTCACTAATGGTTTACAGCAAGATATTAACATATTTCTGTAACATCCTTCTGTTTTGCATCTAGTGTTTTACAATCAAGGAAGTTAAAATTAACATGGTATGAAAAAGATATTTTTTTAATTTAAAAAATGCTGACCCTCAGTACATTTTAGAGTAATATTAAGAGAACATTTAATTGCAACTGTTTAAATTCCAGAATTTCAGGAAGAGAGGTGGTGTTTAGATTTAACATTATCAGATGTTAAATAAATTAAAACTAAGTATTCATATGAGAGTTTCATAAGTACCTGATAGCAGAAACCCTTTCTCATAATGTCAAGGTCATGAAGCTTTCTCTAGCCCCTTAAGCCAAGAAGAGTGGGTAGATTTCAACACTGATTCAAGCTGAAAGTATTGAGAGAGTAGTTCAAGTGTTGACCGTGGGACTGAAATAAAATGAGACCAGGGGAAGGCTGATATAGTCAAAGAAAATGGAGAGATTAAAGGACTAGTCAGGGTAGATAAGATTGTGGTTGAAATGGGGATATTAGAGATTTTTTCAGAGCTGAAGCTGTACTAAGTATTTATATATTATATAATATACACCTTATATATATAATTTTTTCTTCAGAAATTTTCAGAACTCAGAATTTCTGTTTTTAAGCTCTATGTTATTGGAGTCAGCAAAAAGTTTGTTTAGATTTTTCCATAACATCTTTGGCCAACCCAGTATATTCCACTGACATGTCATTATCTTCTAAATGATCTGTCTCTTCTTCCTGGCCATCAGCAATTTTACTGAAGCCTATACATATGTGATCCTCAGTTTATTTGTATTAAAGCATTGCTCTAACTCTTTTGTTTCTCTACTTGAAGATGTTTAATGGCTTTCCATTTCTTGTATGCTCAAATCCAAACTTTCTAACTTGGTATTCAAGACCCCTCCTCAGTTTGGCTGTAACATATTTCCCAAACAAATATCTTATTATTCAAGAAGAAGACCCCTACATTCCACACAATGTGGACTACATACTCCACCCTGGATATACATTTTGTCTCCATACTTACATCCATGTCATTCCCTTTTCCTAGAATATTCTTTTTCTTTTTCAGGGTTTTATGCCCTTGATGAAATCAGACCTTCTCTGAATGTCCTGTACACATGTAATCATCTTTCTGAGGCCTTCCCTAATCATCCTAATTGAAAATAACTCTCTCTCCTTAGTTGTTTGGTAATACTCAATTTTTATTATTCCTATGTAACTTATATATTCCTCTGTATTTTGCATGTTTTAATATATATTTAATAAATGCATATTTTAATATGTATTTTCTAATTGTATTCAGCACAATGTGTTGTTAGTAGTCATAAATACCCACAAAGAACTAAATTAGTATATTTGTGTGCATGTGTACTCAGTCGTGTCTGACACTTTGTGAACCCCCCCAAGGAATGTAGACTACCAGGCTCCTCCATCCATGGGATTTCCCAGGCAAGAGCACTGGAATGGTTTGCCATTTCCTTCTGCAAGGAATCTTTCCAACCCAGGGATCGAACCTGCGTCTCCTTTGTTCCTGCAGTGGCAAGCAGATTCTTTACCTGAGCCACCTGGGAAGCCAGAGTATCTTTCAGCTCGGTTCAGTTTAGTCGCTCAGTTGTCTCCATCTCTTTGTAACCCCATGGACTGCAGCACGCCAGGCCTCCCTGTCCATCACCAGCTCCTGGAGTTTACCCAAACTCATCTCCGTTGAGTTGGTGATGCCGTGCAACCATCTTATCCTCTGTTGTCCCCTTCTCCTCCCGCCTTCATTCTTTCTCAGCATCAAGGTCTTTCCCAGTGAGTCAGTTCTTTGCATCAGGTGACCAAAGTATTGGAGTTTCAGCTTCAGCATCAGTCCTTCCAATGAATATTCAGGACTGATTTCCTTTAGGATTGACTGGTTGGATCTCCTTGCAGTCCAAGGAACTCTCAACAGTCTTTTCCAAATTATCAATTCTTTGGTACTCAGCTTTCTTTATAGTCCAACTCTCACATCCATACATGACTACTGAAAAAACCATAGCTTTGACTGTTCGGATCTTTGCTGGTAAAGTGATGTCTCTGCTTTTTAATATGCTGTCTAGGTTGGTCATAGCTTTTCTTCCAAGGAGCAAGTGTCTTTTAATTTCAGGGCTGCAGTGAACTTCAAATGTTCAAGCTGGATTTAAAAAAGGCAGAAGAACCAGAGATTAAATTGCCAACATCTGTTGGATCACTGAAAAAAGAATATCTTTAGTTTTCTTACATTAAAATTGAAACAAGGATACTAATACCCAAACCTCCAAAACTGAGCCATAGGAAGCAAGCTAGATAGGAAAGAGCATAACTTTTAGAACCAGAGGAAGTGCAAGTGCTGAGGTCACTGTATGTATACTGTTTATATGACCTTTAGCAAGTCAGCCTCTTTGTGCCTCAGTATTTTCACAAAATGACTTATGCATATATTTAAAAGGATTTTTATAAATATTAGTTACCTTTCTTCCCTCTTACTTAACTTTTTGGTTTGCTCTTTTATTGATATGAGAAGGGGTAAGACATCAACTATGAAGAATAGGGATATATCCTAATTTACCTTACTCCACACAATGATCTTTTCATCTATTCATTTTAATATATAGATTTTTACTTTCTACCTTATATATAGAAATGATAACTTTGTTCGCTCACATAAGATCCAGGAAAGAAGCTGATTAGATCTGTTGATATAATGTGATTTTTGGGGAAGTGGGGGAAGGGAGTCAGACCTCATTAGAATACCAACATCTTAAAAGGCCAGAATTAACTTTAGAATAGTTTAGGTTGTGCTAAATTCCCCTTATGTAACAAATGACAAAACCAACATCCAAGAGTTTGAAGGTAGGTGGCTTGCATAATTGTTAAGAAGAGGAACTGGGTCGGAAAACCTTTACATTTGTGCTCTGATATTAAATATAGCTGTTTTCCTCTTGAGTCAGTTACATAGTCTAAGATCCAGTTTGGTTTTTTTTTCTGTTTAAAGTGGAATAATGTTTAATACTTCAAGAGTGTTATGAATATTAAATGAAAAAATGCTTATTACAGAAGCACAAAACCCAGACTGAAGTGGTAAATTCTTTTGACCTCTTATCATAGTCATCATCATCCGTAAAGTTACTCACCCAAAGTCACATACTGTGAGATCTTGATCAAAACCTGGTTTTTCTTTATTCTAATTTCTACTTCTGTTTTGTGATCACTCTACTTGATTAAAAATCTCTAAACAGCATTTGTAGGAAATACAGTAAACTAACTGATGGACTTTTTTCTTCCCAAATCTCCCCAAATCCTCTATCTTCTCTAAGAGTATTCATGCAGTTTCATTTAATGCAGTTTTGTTTATATGTAATTTTATTAATACAATGGTTATATTTTATTTTAAATATTCTTATTTAACATTTTGACTCATATTTAATAACCTGTTACAAAGCAACTTTTATAATAATTGAAGTAGCTTTTTCTGTTTTATTGAAATTCCTTTTTCCTGTTGGTAATTTTACTGTGAATATTATTTAAACTTCATAGAGATTAATCTCTCTCAATAGAAATATTTAACTTAAAAATTGAAATTTAGAAGAAATTACTATATAATTTTACAGTATACACACTACTAGAAATATTGGTGTTAAATAGTAAATGTCAGTTATGTACCTACCTCAGATAATATATAACCAAACACAGCAATGATTGACTGTTGTACCCTAACATCAGTATTTCTCATCTACTAATTTTTTCACAGCCTATTACTACCTGGAATGAAAATATCACTTTCAGTTTCACTTATGGCTAAATGTGGTCATGTGACTAAGTCTTAACTAGAGATACAGGACTGTGTGCAGCTTGTGTGGAAAGTAGCCTTAAAGGAAGAGGGGTATGCCCTCTTTCCCCCCTTTCCTCTATGCTTGCTGATATGTGCATCTGATAAGTGAACAATAAGGGAAAACCACAAATTCAGAATGGGCAAAGCAGTAAGACTGAAAGTCCCTGGTAACTTGAGAATGTCACCTTGCCCACTTTTGACTTGTTTATACCCTTGACTTGAATGGGATAAGCTTCTATTTTANTTTTGACTTGTTTATACCCTTGACTTGAATGGGATAAACTTCTATTTTATAAGCCACTCAGTTTTGGGCTGTCACTCATAACCAGAATTTACCTTGATTTACATCAAGATAATATAACAGAGTTTACACCATTGTTTCAATGTCTTTGATTTATTTATATTTCATTTATTTCTGTTGGCTTGAATTTTAGGAGAAGAATAGAATGATTCACTCTCTTTGTCTCAGAAAGGAGACTAGGGAAATCTTTAAAGAGAGTGTAGACACCTAGGCTAGGTTTTGAGGTATGAGTTACAAGAGAATACAGAAAGAGAAAATAAGCATATAGATTGAAAATAACATGTATTCAAGTGGTCAAGCCAGAATTTATGATAATAAAGAATTTCCATATTTTATGACAATGAATATATCTAAAACATTAAATTAAAAAATCTAGCATCTTAAAATCATAAACTCTTTCTTAAACATTTTGTTTTCTAGAGTCTGAATTGTGAGCATATCTTCAAAGTTAGTATATAGCAGCCATTTAAATTACTTTATACAGATCAATTTTCTGTTGCTATTGTGTATTTGAGTAAAAGAAACCTCCATTTCCTACTATTGCATCTCACCAAAAAGTTGCAGTTTTAACATTAAAGGAGCTAATAGTATGCATGGTGTTCTTAGTATGAGTACCTGTAGATAGGAATGCTACCCTGTTGCAGAGACCCTACTGAACTTTCAACAAGTGAAAATGTACAATGTTACATACTCATTTGAATTAAAGATGGAAAGTGAAAGTGAAAAGTTGCTCAGTCGTGTCCAACTCTTTGTGACCCCATGGACTACACAGTCCATGGAATTCTCCAGGCCAGAATACTGGAGTGTGTAGCCTTTCCCTTCTTCAGGGGATCTTCCCAACCCAAGGATCGAACCCAGGTCTCCACATTGCAGGCAGATTCTTTACCAGCTGAGCCACAAGGGAAGCCCAAGAATACTTGTGTGGGTAGCCTATCCCTTCTCCAGCAGATCTTCCTGACCCAGGAATCGAACCTGGGTCTCCTGCATTGCAGGCAGATTCTTTACCAACTGAGCTATCAGGGAAGCCCTGATTACTTGGATTAAAGATTACTTCTTATGTAAAAATTCTAAATGAGCTACTATTTAGTAGATCTTCCTAAAAACAAAAGATACAGTAACCTTAATACAACTTAGTGATATAGAGACATGAGAGAATATAAAAGAAAAATTAATTTTCTAATTTGGTTTGGTATTTTTAATTGTAATCAGCAAAGAGTCTAGCACCTAGACTACTAGGTAAATATTTTCTGAATTAAAGTGACTTGAAAGTTAATCTGGTTAATAGATCATTCTTTTCCTCTCACACCTTCTAGATTACCAGTGCACACATCTTCTGTGAGAACATTTGTTGAAATGTTGGTCATGGAGTAGATAAAATACAAATAGAATCTACAGAAACTGATGTAGAGATGAGCAGAAGTGTGTTATAGACTGAGGTATGGGATTATGATATTCGACTCTCATTCTTTTTCTACTAATACACAAAGGAAAAACTGAAGAGGAGGAAAGATTTTGACATAAATGGAAATAGAAAAATTCTTACTGTATTACATCTGTGTTATTGTTGTTCAGTCTCCCAGTCGTGTCCGACTTTTGGCAACTCCATGAACTGCTGCACACCAGGCCTCCCTGTCCCTCACCATCTCCTGGAGTTTGCCTAAGTTCATGTTCATTGTTTCGGTGATGCCATCCAGCCATCTCATCCTCTGATGCCCTCTTCTCCTTCTGCCCTCAATCTTTCCCAGCATCAGGGACTTTTCCAATGAGTCATCTGTTCTCATCAGATGACCAAAATACTGGAGCTCCAGCTTTAGCATCAGACCTTCCAGTGAATATTCAGGATTGATCTCCCTTAAGATTGACTGGTTGATCTTGCTGTCCAAGGGACTTTCAAGAGTCTTCTCCAGCACCACAGCTCGAAGGCATCAATTCTTTGGTGTTCTCCCTTCTTTACAGTCCAGATCTTACAACTGTATGTGAAAACCATAGTCTTGACTATAAGGACCTTTGTCAGCAGAGTAATGTCTATGCTTTTCTATATACGGTCAAGGTTGGTCATTGTTTTTCTGCCAAGAAGCAATCATCTGATTTCATGGCTGCAGTCACCATCCAGTGATTTCAGAGCCCAAGAAGAGGAAATCTGTCACTACTTGTACCTTTTCCCCTTGTATTTGCCATGTAATAATGTGGTCAGATGCCATGATCTTAGTTCTTTTAATATTTAGTCCTAAGACGGCTCTCCCACTTTCCTCCTTCACCCTCATCAAGAGGCTCTTTAGTTCCTCTTTGCTTTCTGCCATTAGATTGGTATCATCCACATATCTGAGGTTGTTGATGTTTCTCTTGATTCCAGCTTGTAACTCATCCAGCCGGCATTTCTTATGATTTGCTCAGCGTATAGGTTAAACAAACAGGGTGACAGCAGACAGCCCTATCATACTCCTTTCTTGGTCTTTAACCAGTCCGTTGTTCCATACAGGGTTCTAGCTGTTGCTTCTTTACCCACATACAGGTTTCTCAGGAGACAAGTAAGATGGTCTGGTATTCCCATCTTTCTAAGAGCGTTCCAGTTTGTCATGATCCACATAGTCAAAGGCTTTAGCGTAATCAATAAAACAGAGCTAGATGTTTTTCTGAAATTCCCTTGCTTTCTCTATAATCCAGCAAATGTTGGCAACTGGATCTCAGTTCCTCTTCCTTTTCTAAACTCCCCTTGGACATCTGGAAGTTCTTGGTTCGCATCATGCTGAATCAGCCTAGCATGCAAGATTTTAAGCATGACCTTACTAGTGTGGGAGACGAGTGCAATTATCTGATGGTTAACACGTTCTTTAGTACTACCCTTCTTGGGAATTGGGAATTGACCTTTTCCAGTCCTGTGGCCACTTCTGGGCCTTCCAGATTTGCTGACATAATGAATGCAAAACCTTGATGGCATCATCCTTTAGGGATTTGAATAGCTATGTTGGAATTTCATTCCATCAAATGGATTTATAACAGCAGTGCTTCTTTTTTTTTTTTTAAGATTAGCAATTTTTAATAATAAGTCATTTGTTCACATCCTGTTTCAAACCATTCTTCCCACTTCTCACAAAATATGCACAACTCTTTCATTTTAAATATTTACAAACAGAAAAGGTCTATCTGCTGAAGGAAAGACATTTTCTGAGTCTGTATAAAGTGCAGCTAATTTAAGGCAAATTTATGTGAAATATAAAAGGTGGCTTAGTCTCTCTATATACACATTTTCCAGTTTTAAAAGATAAGGTCTCCTCCCGTCAGAAAAAGGAAAGAGAAAAAAAAGAGGGCTTGACTTTTTTTCTGGCAATTTTAAAATTAAGATCTTACTGGTTTCAGGAAATCATAGATTTCTGAATATTATAAGTAAAATGGTCTTTTTTTTAAAAAAATAACTTTTATATAGCTTTTTCAAACAAGTTAAAAGGTGACAATGTGTCTGCTATTGTAGTTTGGAGGACTGGAGGATTGATGGGTAGGTAAAGGGTTGTTTTTGTTAGCTGAGCAGATAATAGGTAGTCCACAGCATACATCCACTTCTGAAATGAGCTTGATGAGACTAGACACCTAAAGCTGCTCTCAGCTCCAAGAATGAGTATCTTCCATCTCCATCAGAATCAAACTCTCTCAAATGCTCTGGTTCTGGCCCAATAGACTCTAAGGAGTCCTCAATTTCCTGGTAGGTCAGTTTCCCATCCACATCCTGGCCAGTCTTATGGAATAAGCCCTGAAGATCTTCGATGCTAGAAATTCCTGGAAGGGAAGCAGGTCTTAGCTGGACAGCCTTCTCAATGTGGTCTCCAAGAGACTGTGGGAATTTTGGCAATGTTGATGGCTTTGATGTGAAATTCTGTACTTCCTCTTCATTGGCAGTCTCTGGAGGCCTGCTGCTCTCAGGTTTGTTCGTGAGAGCACTTATCAGCTGCAGTTTCTCTCTAAGCTTAGATACCTGAGAATCTGAACTATCTTCTTTCTTTATGCCCTGGGATTTTACTGACTCTATTCTGTTGGTCACTTGATGCAAAGACTCTCTCTTCAGAGTGGCAGCTCTATCATTCACCATGCTGGAGGACAGGTTCGCTTGCTTTTCTACCTTGCTCATAGCAACCAGATCTCTTTCTATCAAGTTGACTCTTTGGGTAAGATTACTGATGGTCTCATTCATCCCCTCGAGTTTAAGATCATTCTGTCTCTGGTACTACCCAACTTGGGCACTATTTACTTCCTCTAAAAAGCTGTGGAGGTACAGGATATCCTGTTTCAAATTCTCACTGTGGGTTTTATTTTCAAGTTCAGATAGAGTGGAAGGTGATGGAATGATCTGGTTGCTTCCATTGGTTTCCTTCAAGGTGTGCTGATTCATGTCACTCTGTAGTGGCTCCACAGTTTTCTTGTGTTCATCCACAGTCTTCTGTACTGCCTCCACAGCAAGATGGACACTATTTAAAGTGTTGTCAATGGAAGCTACACTCTCCTGAAGTCCCTCTACAGTGGCAGGCAGGCTAATTAAGTCTGCAGCTGACTTGACGTTGGCTTTGAGGTGGTTTACTGCAGAAGTCAGCAAAGAAATCTGCTTATTCGTTTCTGTGATGTTTATCCAGACTTTGTTCAACCCGAGCTCTCCAGATTCAATCTTCTCAAGTTGTTTTTGTTTGCTGAGTAGTTCTTCATTAAGTTTGGGAATTTCTTGGAATGAGCTTTTCTGATTAGATTCCACTGTTCGGAACTTTTCCTTGAGGGAATCCAGATCCTCCTTCAGAGCGACTTGCATCCACACCAGGCCAACGCAGGCCACGACACAGGCGGCAAGGATGACAAACGTACAGAGGGGATAACAGATCCTGCAGCATCGTAAATAGTCTCCCTTGACAAAGCGAGAGCGATTTCCAGCTACACCAAATTCCTCTTCCTCCTCTGAGCTGGACTCCGAGTCTGAGTCAGGAGGCTCCGTGCGAAGTAGGCGGTGGCCTGAGCCTTTCTTGGGTTTCTTTCTCCGGCTCTCCCCAGCCAAGCCAATCAATGCATTAAGCTCTTTGTGCTTTTTCATCTTCTTGTGTGGGGTAAGTGGAGCACCCACTCCTGAGCTACCAGGTTCGTACCCGATGCCCAGTTCTCTCCCTGCCTTGGAGCTGCCTTCCAGGGTGAGGAATCCTGGGCCAGAGCCCTCTGGTCACTCCCACCCAGGGGTGGGACTGACCAGATACACTACGGGCTGGAGATTGGACTCCAGAGGAAACTGAAACTCAGATGAATGGGGGAAGTCACTTAAAGATGGCCAGGGAGCTGGTGATCCAAATGGGTAAAGGCCTATGCATGGAGTGCCAGTTACTTAAGAGGGTACTGGGGAGGGGAGCAACTTTTGTCTCTCAGGATAAAGAGTCAAGTCAAGAATGAGAGATTCTGAACCCTGGTCAGCAGACAGTATTTCTAAGGGTACTCCAAGAGCTGGAAAGGACACACAGATAGGTGTTTCGGACTTCCGGGTCAGGATGTCCAATGGAGAGAAAAACAAGAAAACTTGGTTCTTGAATGGGAAGAGACGGGGAGATGCAAAGCAAGATGGGGGGAACGCGCTGGTCCCTCCCTAGATGGTAGCAGGAGGGGGCTCCCAGCCACTACAACCCTGACAGAGAAAATGCCCGTGTCCGAGAAGATCACCGTCCTCCGGCCTTCGTCCTGAGTTTGAAGGGAGTCAGAGGCCAAGGAAGACCCAGAGCCCAGTCTGGAGGATTCGGCCTGAGAGGAGCCAGTCCCGCGCCTGGGAAGCCCCCAGCCCTGATGTCTGGGCCTGGGGGCGCGGTGAGGAGGGGTGACCGCGGCTCAGCCCACCTGAAGCGCTCCCGCCCAGAGTTTGAGGTGTTCCGATACGGGCGACTCTCGGCAACTCACACACGCCGCCTCCACTCCAGCCGCGACTCTGGCCCCCGCTCCGGCTGCGGCCGCAGCTGTTCCCAAGTCGCTGGTGGCGGCGGCGGCTGTGGCCGCAGGCTCCAGACCCGGGCCATAGCTTCAGCCCCAGTTCACTTCCCCTTTGGCAGCGGCCACCGGCCAACAGCAGTGCTTCTTAAGGCCCACTTGACTTCGCACTCCAGAATGTTTGGCTCTGGGTGACAAACCATACCATCATAGTAATCCAGTTCATTAAGATCTTTTTTATGCAGTTCTTCCATGTATTCTTTCCATCTCCTCTTGATCTCTTCAGCGTTTACTAGGTCTCTACCATTTTTATCCTTTATGGTGCCCGTCTTGGGGTGGAATGCTCCCTTGATGTTGCCAGTTTTCCTGAAGAGATCTCTAGTCTTTCCCCTTTGTTGTTTTCTTCTATTATTAAGCACTGTTCATTGAAGAAGGCCTTCTTGTCTCTGCTGGGTATTCTTTGGAACTCTGTGTTTAATTGGATATGTTTCCCTCTCTCTCTTGCTTTTCACTTCTCTTTGTTCTTCTGCTATTTGTAAAGCCTCCTCAGATAAACGCTTTGGCTTTTCTTTTTCTCTGAGATGGTTTTGTTTGCTGCCTCCTGTAGAGTATCATGGACCTCTGTCCATAGTTCTTCAGGCACACTAAACTAGATCTAGGCCCTTGAATCTCTTCATTGCCTTTACTGTGAATTCATACAGGATTTGATTTAAGTCATAACTGTCTGGCCTAGTGTTTTTCCCAGTTTTCTTCAGTTTAAGCCTTAATTTTGTCATGAGAAGCTGATGATCTGAGCCACAGTCAGCTCCAGGTCTTTTTGTTGTTGACTATATATAGCTTCTCCATCTTTGGCTACAAAAAATATAATCAATTTGATTTCAGTATTGACCATTTGGTGATGTCCATATGTAAAGTCGTCTCTCATGTTGTTGAAAAAGGGTATTTGCTAAGACTAGTGCATCCTCTTGGCAGAATTCAGTTAGTCTTTGCCCTGCTTCATTTTGTTCTCCAAGGCCAAACTTGCCTGTTACTCCAGGTATATCTTGACTTCATACTTTTGCGTTCTAATCCCCAATGATGAATAGAACATCTTTTTTAGGTGTTAGTTCTAGAAGGTCTTCTAGATCTTCGTAGAACTGATAAACTTCAGCTTCTTTAGCGTAGGTGGTAGAGGCATAGACTTGGATTATTGTGATTTTGAATGGCTTGTATTGGAAATGAATCATTCTGTCATTTTTGAGTTTGCAGTTTACAGTCCAAATACTGTATTTTGGACTCTCTTGTTGATTTTGAGGGCTACTCTGTTTCTTCTATGGTATTCTTGCCCCCAGTAGTAGATATAATGGTCATTGAATTAAATTCGCTCATTCCATTCTAGTTCACAGATTCCTAGGATGTTGATATTTATTCTTACCATCTCCTGCTTGAACACGTCCAGTTTTCCTTGATTCATGGACCTAACCTTCCAGGTTCCCATACAATACTGTTCTTTGCAGCATCAGATTTTACTTTGGTCACCAGACCCATCCACAGCTGAGCACTGTATCCGCTTTGGTTTAGTGGCTTCATTCATCCTGGTCTATGGTGATTCTCCTCTGCTCCTCCCCAGTAGCGTATTAGACACCTCCAGACCTGGGGGCTCATCTTTTGGTTTCATATCTTTTTGGCCTTTTATACAGTTCATAAGGTTCTCACTGCAGGTATACTGGGGTGGTTTGCCATTCCATCCTCCAGTGGATCACGATTTGTCAGAACTCTCTGCTATGACCCGTCCATCTTGGGTGGCCCTCCACAGCACAGCTCGTAGCTTCATTGAGTTACGTAAACGCCTTTGCCATGACAGGGCAGTGATCCTTGAAGTGGGTATTACATCATAAGGGCACCTAAAATTAGCATGTCGTAGATGTTAAAATAAGTCTTAACTAGTAGAAATATTCCTGATGTTTTCCTTATGTCAGTATCTTTAAAAAGCATTACATCAATAAGTATAAGTAAACTTTTCCACATGCAAAGTATGCCCTTTATTTTTATGCTGCTTGGAATCTTATTTTCTGATTTTCTTTCTTAGAAGAAAACTCCTCACCTTTTGTTCATAAAATTGATAATTTTCTCTTTATTGCCTTTGCCAATGAATATTCCTGTCTTTTTTTACTCAAGTTTGTGTCATATTTTCAATATTATGGCAAAGAAATTATAGAAAACTTAAACACTTGGCATTAAACTCACATGTCACAGCTGCCCTCAAATGTTATCTCCTCCCTAAAACCTCTGCAGTTGGAATTAATCTCCCCATCATTTCTGCCTGTATAGTGTTTGTTATTTCTATTATAGCATTGTTCTTCAACATGGGATCCTTGGACCTGAGTACATAGATATGTTCTCTCTGTGGGACAGAGAGTGTTTACTACAAGAATTTACAAATTTCAACCCTAATAAAAAAGAAATATTCTTGGATCATCTAGGATGCTTACCTTATAAGCAGTTACTTCATTAGACTTTCAGGGCTATGAATGTGTTAAGTCAGTTTAATGAGAAAAGAATAAAAATAGATTTGATAGGTGCAGATGGTTCATTTGTACCAACTGAGGGTCAGTTGACATTGAAATGAACTAAATTATAGCTTTGTAGAGTTTTAGTAGAGAGAAATGGTGGGAATATTAGTATGTGTTATAAGTATGCATATGTGTTTGTGTGTGTGTGTGTGTGTGTGTGTGTGTGTGTGTATGTTCAGTCACTCAGTTGTATCTGACTCTGCAATCCTACTGGACTGTAGCCTGCCAGGCTCCTCTGTCCATGGAATTTTCTGAGCAAGAGTACTGGAGTGGGTTGCCGTTTCCTCCTCTAGGGGATATTTCTGACCCAGGGATCAAAGACATGTCTCCCGTGTCTCCTGTATTGGCAGGCAGATTCTCTGCCACTGATCCACCTGTAAGATATGCATGCCAGACTCAAATGTAACTGGAAGATAATGGGGAAAAAGCAGTCAGCACCATATTCATGTTGAGTACAGTGATTTTGTTTGAGCAAAAATATCATATTGATAGCAATTTGTGATCTGTTAGTTTTCTAGTTTTTATGTACATAGTTTGTAAATTTGTTTTGATACTATTTTTACTATAGTAAGACCTGAAAGCAAGAAGAGTTTATCCTTATCCATAATTTTGCTTTTTCAGGTATTTCAGTATGGAATTGTGTATCTGTTAGCACCTGTCCACAGCACATTTTCCTCTCTTTATAAGGATTTATATATACCCAAGTTTCAGAAACATTCTTACAGAGCCTTTATCTCCTGAGATGAGTTGTGTGTTTGGCTCTTTCACCTATTTGATTGTAAAGTTCTTACAGTAAAGTCATAAACTATGTTAAATTCATTCTGGGTTTTTTTTTAAAGATTTTTTTATGTGGACCATTTTTTTAAGTCTTTATTGAATTTGTTACAGTATTACTTCTTTGATTTTGTGTTCTGGATTTTGGGCAATGGGGCATGTGAGACTTTAGCTCCCAGACCAAGGATTGAACCCACACCGCCTGCATTGGAAGGTGAAGTCTTAACCACTGGACCACAGGGAAGTCTCTGTTTTATTCATTCTTGCCAAGTAGTGCTAGTGGTAAATATCCCATCTGCCAATCCTGGAGACACAAGAGATGTGGTTTCGATCCCTGGATCGGAAAGATTCCCTGGAGGAGGACATGGCAATCCACTCCAATATTCATGCCTGGAGAATACCATGGACAGGGTAGTCTGGTGGGCTACAGTCAATAGGGTAGCACAGAGTCGGATACGACTAAAGCAACTTAGCAACGTATGCATGCATTTCCATTAGCATCGATTACAATGTATTCAGTCTTGCAGTCCCATTAGAGTCGATTACAATGCCTTATCCCCAGTAGAGGCACAACAGAAATTTATGCAGAAAACTGGCCTACGCAGATGGTGATAGGCCAGTGTTGATAATCTGTTCAATTAAACTAGAATAGATAAATATGTAGAAAACAAGATAGGAAAAATACATTTTAACAGTTTGAAAATTCATACAAGTTAACAAATTCTTCTTTTAAATTAAATATCCTATAGAATTTTGGTCACTTATAGTGTATGAATCACTTTAATTTGATAGTCAAAGGATCTGT